AGGAGGTGGGGGAGGGGCGGGGGGTACAAGTGACGGAAAAACTCCAGAACATAATGGCCAAGTCTGCACGTGGGTGGTTGGCGGATGCTCTGGTGTGGTTTACTCCTTCTTTCCTCTCAAACCTCTAGATTCTATCGTCCTTATCTACCGTTCCTCTTTTTTATGTTTGTTACTCTCCTGTAACACCTCTAATCTTCTGGCGCTCATAAAACCTCAACTAAAACTAAACTAAATAAGTCTCTCTCCAGGAAGAAACAAAGTTATTTTTATCCAACTGACGTATTGGAAATACCTCCCTGACACAGAAAGAATCTATTCAGGGAAATGAAAACCCCTTTTGTGTGACTGATGGGATGCCGGCTATCATCATCTATAATTTATTTATAGAAGCACCAGCCATCCATGTCCAGGTGCTGTGGGGTCTGAGTGGTGTAGTCAAGCATTGGTCCTCTTAATACGGTACTAAAGTTTTTGTGTTTGGCGCTATCTTTTTATAGAATGTGCCTACCTTTGAATGTGTCCATGCAGTCTGAAAAATGTTTTCTTTTACTCTTTGGTGTCAAATACTTTTCATTATAGGGCTCCCAGTTTTGCATTTATGTAATTATATTCTTTCTTTTGCATTTTTATCTTGTTTGCACGCTCGTCAGCTATTTCATTCCCAACTATTCCGCAATGTGATGGTATCCAAATAATGATAACCCTTTTTCCCGTTAGTTAATAATGTTTCATGTAATTCAATTATGTCCTGGAGAATGTCAAATCTAGCATGATTTCTGTGAAGTTCACCAAGTGACTGTGCTGCCGAGAGAGAATCAGAGGGTATAAGAATATCCCAGTCCCAACTCTGTACTGCCTGCCTGTTTCGTTGCTCCCTGTATCACTATCAGCTCAGCAGTAAGAATAGAAGTATAATCTGTTATTCGTGAAAACGAACGGATATTTTGTTTTTTAACGTAGAATCCTGACCCAGTACGTTCACCCTCCTTGGATCCGTCAGTAACGTAATGGTTGCACATGTGTGCGTGTAATATTGGGCGTGAGTGTGTGTGTGCGTGTGTGTGTGTGTGCGTGTGTGTGTGTGTGTGTAAGTGTGTGTGTATATGTGTGTGTTTGTGTATGTATATGAGTGTGTGTGCGTGTGTGTGTGTGTGTCGCGTGCGTGGATATTGTTCGTGCATGCATTTATGTAAAACGCCTAGAGCTGCGTTTACACGGGAGTGGGCGATATAGAAATGATCTTCATTATTATTATTATTATTTGGTTATGGGACGCCGGCCTTACGAGCAGGCACGTCCTGATACAATGTCCGGACTTTGGAGAGGCCAGTCAGGAAGATTATAAATGCACGAAATTTAAGAATGTTTTTCACATTATTGATCCCAACAGAAT